AAAAAAAAAGAAAACAATATTGGCATAGCTGCTGCATTTGTTTCTTCAAATTGGGTTACACTTGTCTTAGCATTCGATAGATGGGTTTCGAATTCCTCACTCATCTGGAGGATATCTAAACGAAATCCGAAATTGTTAATCGCATTACAATTCATGAGATTGATCTTGTTTTTTTTTCAGGAGAACATACTGGTTTTTACCACACGCTGTGGAAATGATAAGTCATTTTTTTTAATTTGAAATTGTTTTATTGAGGATGCCAAGGAAATTGGCTCAATTAAGTGGACATATGGCTAATTTATTGTTGAAAAAAATTATATAAAAATTCCTACTGCAGATATTTTTAAGGATGATAGCCAAAAAAGCCTTAAGGATTTTTTTCTCCTCAAAAATCTCCATTTCTCCTTTGAACACAAATTTTGAGAAAACAACCCACTTTTTTGCTGCAAAAGTCCTTTAAGAAAATTTCTTAAAAAAAACAGATTTTAATTCAGAAACTGGTTGAGGAAAAAATTGTTAAAAATATCCTAGTTTGTTGTTTTTTCTTTATTAAATCCACATTTAAAAAATTAATTGAAAAATTCATGTTTTTAGGGTTTTGGGCCCTGAAAAAAATTTTCAAAAAATTAATGATTATAGGTCCTTAGGTTGTTTATTTTTTTTAAATCATCGTCTAGTGTTCTGTAGTTTCTTGAAAAAAATCTTTAAGAAATCCACGGTTAGGTCCTTGTAAAAAAACTTTAAAAAATCCACGGTCAGGTCCTTACAAAAAAATCTTTAAAAAATCCACGGTCTTTAAAAAATCCACGGTTGCAAAAAAAATCTTTTAAAAATCCACGGTCAGGTCCTTACAAAAAAATCTTTAAAAAATCCACGGTTAGGTCCTTGTAAAAAAATCTTTAAAAAATCCACGGTTAGGTCCTTGCAAAAAAAATCTTTAAAAAATCCACAATTAAGTCCTTGCAAAAAAATCTTTAAAAAATCCACGGTTAGGTCCTTGTAAAAAAATCTATAAAAAATCCACGGTTAGGTCCTTGCAAAAAAAATTTTTAAAAAATCCACAATTAGGTCCTTGCAAAAAAATCTTTAAAAAATCCACAATTAGGTCCTTGCAAAAAAATTTTTAAAAAAAATCCACTTTTAGGTCCTCGCAAAAAAAAATTTAAAACACCCACGTTTATTGGTCTTTAGATACTGAATTAACATTTTTTAATAATTCCACGTTAATTGGTCTTTAGGTCTTTGAAAAAAATCTTAAAATAATCCACGTTTACTGTTATAAAGGTCCTTGAAAAAAAATCTTTGAAAAATCTACGTTTACTGGTCTTTATGTACTTGAAATAATTTTTAAAAAAATCACGCTTATTGGCGTAAATGTTCTTTAAAAAAAAATCCAGCAAATATTGGACTTTAGGTCCTTGAAAAAATTCCTCAAGAAATCCTTATTTATTTGTCTTTAAGTCCTTAAAAAAATATCTAGGTTTAATGATTTTTAGGTCCTTGAAAAAAATCCTTAAAAGATCATTGGCCTTCAGGTCCTTGCAAAAAAAAATTAAATTCACGATTACTGTTGTGAAGGTCCTTGAAAGAAATGCATAAAAAATCCACGTTTATTGCTCTTTAGGTCCTTAAAAACAGCTTTAAGAAATCCATATTCATTTGTCTTTAGGTCCTTGAAAAAAAAATCTTTAAAATAACAAATGGTTATTGATCTTTAGGTTCTTGAAAAAAAATATTTAAAAAATCCAAATTTATTGGTCTTTAGATACTTGAAAAAAATTATTCAAAAAATCCAAATGTATTGGTCTGTAGATCCTTGAAAATTTTTTTAAGAAGCCCTTATTTATTTGTCTTTAGGTCCTTGAAAAGAATTCTCTTAAAAATCAAAGCTTATTGGTCTTTAGGTCTTTGAACATTTTCTTTAAAAAATACAAGTATACTAGTTTTAAGGTCCTTGAAGAAAATTCTTTGAGGAAATCATGTTTAATAGACTTCAGGTCCTTGAAAACAATTCTTTAAAAAAATTGATTTTATTGGACTTTAAGTCCTTAAAAAAAAACAATTTAAATGCCCATTAGGTCCTTAAAAAGAATCTTGGAAAAATCTAAGATTATTGGTCTTTAGGTCCTTGGAAAAAATTATTTAAAATATTAGCGATTATTGGCCCTTAGGTCTTTGAAAAGAAATTTTTTAACAAAATCAGCGATTATTGGCCCTTGGGTTCTTGAACCAAAATCGTTAAGAAATTCATATTTATTGATCTTCAAAAAATCTTTAAAAATCCACGTTTAGGTCCTTGAAAGAAATCGTTTAAAAATCCACGTTTAGGTCCTTGAAAGAAATCGTTTAAAAAATCCACGTTTAATGTTATGAAGGTCCTTAAAAAATCCGAATTTGCCCTTAGGTCCCTGAAAAAACTCTTTAACAAAAAGGGTTTATTGGTTTTTAGGTCCTTGAAAAAAAATATTTAAAAAATCCACGTTTACTCTTAATTCTTTAAAAACTAAGATTATTAGCCTATAGGTCCTTGAAAAAGTCTTTAACAAAATCCACTTTTATTGTTCTTTAGGTCCTCGAAAACAGTTCTTCAAAAAAATCAAGTTTACTGTAATGAGGTCCTTGAGAAAAAAAATTCATAAAAAATCCATCCAAAATCCACTTTTATTTTTTTAGGTAATTAAAAAAATCTTTAAAAAATCGACGATTATTGGTCCTTGGATCCTTAAAAATCAACGATTATTAATCTTTAGGCCCTTAAAAAAATCCAAGTTTAATGGTCTTTAAGTCCAACAAAAATTCTTTAAAAAGCGAATACTGGTCTTAAAGCTCTTAAAAAAATCTCAAAAAAAAAAAAAAACACGTTTTCTGATCATTTGGTCCTTGAAAAAAATCTTTAAAAAACCATGGTTACTGGCCATTATGTCCTTGTAAAAAATCTTCAAGGAAGCAAAGATTATAGGTGGCCTTAGGTTCTTTAAAAAAATTCTTTAAAACTGTCTAATAGTCTTTGAAAAAAAATTAAATCCAAGTTTATTTTTCCGAAAGTTTTTCAAAAAAATATTTAAAAATCCACGTTTATTAGTCTAAAGGTCCTTGAAAAAAAAATATTCTTCTTCAGAGCAAAAAATGTGGACTTTAAGCAAAATACGTGGATTTTTAAAGAACAATTTTTAAGGACATTCAGTCTTCAGACCTTCACACCAAAAAAGGTGGATTTATAAAGAATATTATTTCAAAGACTTTCAAATCCAAAGACGTCGATTTTAAATAATTTTTTCAATTGAGGTTCTCGATAGGTCTGTTATCTCCCTGCCAAAAATATTCGCTACAGGCCCATTAATTTGTATAGCCCCCATATAACAGTACCTCCCGATTTTCTGTATTTTGAAGGTTTTTGGTACAATTCCCAACCAAATGAGCGGAAACTTTATATTTGTGGTTCTCGATACGTCTGTTCTCTCCATGCCAAACAAATATTCGGTACAGGTCGACTAGTTTTTATATAACGGTACCTCCCGATTTTCGGCATTTAGAAGGTTTCTGCCAAAATTTCTTATCAAATTACACAAAACATGACAATTGGAGTTCCTGATGGGTCCTTTCTCTCCTTGCAAAAAATATTTGCAACAGGTCCACTAATTGGTATAGGCCCCATACAGCGATTCCTCCCGATTTCCGGCATTTTGAAGGTTTTTACCACAATTTCCAATCAAATGAGCCGAAACTTAAGATTTGTGGTTCTCGATATGTCTGTTGTCTCCCTGTCAAAAAAATTTTCGGTGCAGGTTGACTAGTTGGTATAGCCCCGACATAACGGTAGCTTCCGATTTTTGGTATTTTAAAGGTGTCTACCATAATTTCTAACTAAATTAGCTGCAACTTGACATTTAGGGTTCTTGGTAGGTCGATTCTCTCATTGCAAAAAATATTGACTACAGGCCCCATACAGCGATTCCTTCCGATTTTCGGCATTTTGAAGGTTTCTGGTACAATTCTCATCCAAATGAACCGAAACTTTAGATTTGGAGTTCTTATACCTACATTCTCTCCTTGCAAACAATATTCACTAATTAAGATAGCCTCAATATAGCTCTTCCTCCCGATTTTCGGAATTTTTATAATTTCTGCCACAATTTCTTACCTAATCGGCTGAAACTTCACATTTGCGGTCTCTGCTGGATCTGTTCCCCTTTTTGCCAAAAATGTTCAATTTTGGTCCAATAATTGGTAATTGGACCCCATATAACGGTAGCTTCCGATTTTCGGTATTTTACAGGTTTCTGCCACAATTCCCAACGAAATCAGCTAAAATTTGGCATTTGGAGTTCTTGAAAGGGAGAGAACTCCCTGCGAAAAATGTTTGATTAAGATCCACAAATTGGTACCGACCCAACATTTCTTGAAAAATCCTTAAAAAATGTCATCTGGTAAAATAATTGCAATCATAACTAGACTGTTGGCCCTGAAAGTTCTTAAATAAATATTGGTGCAAAAAATCTATATTGTTACGTAAAAGTTCTCCCAATAGGCCTTTCATGAGAATCTGATTGTTCTTTTTAGAAAAAATTGTAAGAAATCCCGATAGCTTTACTGGAAGTCCTTTGGAAAAGGTACTATGTTGCTGTCAGAGTCCTTTGAAAAAAGTTCATAGAGAATTCGGAGCCAAAACAACTCCGAGTCCGAAGTGAAAGTGGTCCTTGTAGAAAAATATTTTTAAAACTGTATTGCCCCAAATGACCCCTGAAGAGAGAAATGCTCTAAGAACTCGTTGGTTTTTCTTTCGTTTTTGAGGAAGTCCTTGAAAAAAATCCTTAAAAATTCCAAATATCATGGCCTGAATGTCCTGGAAAAATGGTTGTCCACACTCTAAAAAAGTTTAGGATAACTTTTTTGTCCTAAAATCAGTAAAGAAATCAAAAAAAAACTTATTTTTTATTTTCAAAATCCTTCAACCCCCTCCGAAAACCTCCCTTAAATTTGAAACCCCCTCTTCTTAAGAATGAAAATTACATCTTTTTTTATTGAAGACATTTACAATTTTTTGCAAAGATTTTACGTTGACTTGAAATTTGTATGTTTTCAAATCAAAGGATTCTCCATACAATTAATAACAAGGGGAAAAGTCCTTTAGATCCCATTAACAGGACAATGGAAACGTCAGTTTGGCACAGAAAAGAAAATACAAAAAACAAATGCCAAAGAAATTCTCTCTCTCTCTCAAAATCGTGGCCCAATCAATCTTGGAGACCAGGCTGGCAGGGGTGGGGGTAAATCGTACATCAGCTTGCGCCTTAACTGTTCGTACATTTCACATTTGGTACGTTTTTCGAGGCATGAACATTCCGTCGGCCTCCTTGGCTGCGGACATGGGCGACAACATTCCGAAAACGAGGGGTAGGGACAACACGTTTTATGGCAGTCTGTGGGACCTCGAGGATTCTTACACAACGGAGGTTGTCTTGAGGTGCGACAGCAAGGCATTTTCAGACGAGGACATTTCTTGGCTGCATCCAAACAACACAGAGCCTTAAGTTTTGCCGAATCAAACGCACATGCCGTTTGGGCACATTCCTTTTTGGCCCTTTTGCATAGGGGTGGCAACTCCGAGCTGTCGTAGCAGCAAACCTTACGTTTACGTATCTGCACCGGAGGACACTCGACCCAGGTCTGTTGATATTCTCTGGCATTTTTATCACTGGCACAATAATAGAGTCTATCGAAACGGGGCAACATTTCGGGGCAAGGGTTGCCACAGCATTCGGCCGTGTATTCCCAAACCGATTTCAGTGGCAACACCTGATTGTGCAATTTAAAGTCTTTCTTTTCGCATAGCTCTCGTCGCTTGTAGCAGGGATCCTTTTGCAGGCGTTCACTGTTGCAGCAGGATGCCAGGGATTTGTCGGGGGTATTTTTCGGAGATTGGGAGCTCATTACCTTGGGAGAGGATTTGCGGCATTTTGGCTCTGTGGGAGAACAATTAGATGGCTTTTGATTTTCTTTGTTGCTGTCGCGATAGCCCACCATTTTGCAACCCTTCGGCTTGGGACAATCGATTTCACAATTCTTGGCATAGCAGCGATTTGAGGATGATGACATCAGGCAACGCCCCACCTTGTGGGATATACAGGATTTTAGCATTTTTTTAAGAATTGTAGGGAAGATCCTTTGCAAATATGATAAGGTGAAATTTAGGTAATTTTTTTTTATTTGATAAAGTGGTGGATTTTTTTACAAATTTTAAGATTTTTTTGAATTTTTTTTGGTTTAAAAAAGTTTTGAGAAATCTTTTTTGAAAACTTGAAAATTTTTATTATTTTTTTATTATTTTTTTTCTTTGAAAGAAATTTCAAGGAGAGTCTGTTTCAATTTTTTTTTTTTTTTTTTTTTTGAAACGTTCTGAATGTCCTGAAGGAAAACATTATTGAAATATTCGCATTTGTATCTTCACAAAATCCTTAAAAAAAAAATAAAATAAAAAAAATCCAAAAATCCAATTTATGATAAGCTCTTCAGTTTTAAATAATTTATCCTGTCCATGGAATTTACAGGGTGAGATAAAAAAACTTCAAAAAATTCAAAAGCCATAATTTTTACATTTTTTTAAACAATTTCATTGAATGAAGGAAAAAATGTCGGAAATAGCATCAAATTTTAGAATAAGTTTAGAATTGTTCGAATTGGTCACCTTTGACACGAATTTTGACCTTCAAATGGCCGATGAAACCGCCACACTTTGCCCGAATGTTGCTCTGCCGTATTTTGGCGCATTCCTGGCGAAGCGCTGGCTTCAGGTGATCGCCAATTTGGTATTTTTTAGTGCCAACCTTGCTTTCCAAAATACTCCAGACACAATAGTCCAACGGATTGGTATCTGGAGATTTTGGTGGCCACTGGGCGCTGGAAATGAAGCGAGGAACTTCATTTTGTAACCATTCTTGGGTGGCGGTGTCGAGTGCTGAGTGCGTTGCTGCTGTCTGTCTGTCCTGTTGGAGTGTCCAAGGTCTGCGGCCAAAATGTTTGCATGCCCAAGGCTTTAATACACCCTTCAGAATATTTTCGCGATAATATTCGGTCGGGATTTATTCTGATGCGAGGAACCTCATTTTGTAACCATTCTTGGGTGGCGAGTGTTGAGTGCGTTGCTGCTGAGTCCTGTTGGAATGTCCAAGGTCTGCGGCCAAAATGTTTGTGTGCCCAAGGCTTGAGTACACCCTCCAGAATATTTTCCCGATAATATTCGGTATTTATTCTGATGCCACGGTCGATAAATACGAGTGGAGAGCTACCATCGGCTGTTATGGCGGTCCATACCATCACCATGGCCGGCCGGCGCTTGATTTCTCGAGGCCAACAGACCTCTTTGGCAAGTTAACATGATCATTTGTGTTTGTTTACAAACCGCCGGACAACGAATGTTTTCTCATCGGAGAGTGAGAAACCCAAATTCGGCAAATTCGACGTTCGGGATTTATTCTAATGCCACAGTCGATTAATACGAGCGGAGAATGACCATCGGCTGTTATGGCAGCCCACACCATCACCATGGCCGGCCGGCGCTTGAGTTCTGGTGGCCAACCGAAGGTGCATATTTTCAGCTGACCTCTTTGGCAAGTAAACACGATCGGATCATTTTGTTTGTTTACAAACTGTCGGACAACGAATGTTTTCTCATCGGAGAAAACCAAATTCGACAGTTCACCACTTTCAGCCAAGCGGAGCAACTCTTTAGCTCTTTTGAGTCTATTTTCTTTTTTGTGTTGCGGTGTAAGTTCTTCAACTTTTTTGGAATTTCAATGGCTTTACCCCGAGCTCCATTCATTTTTCAATATTTGCCGAATGGAATATTGCGATATGTTCAGCTGACAAGCTATTTTTCCGCCACTGCGACGCGGGGGTTTCGATCAAGTTGCTTCTTTACTTTTCGAACAATTTCTGCTGATGTTGCGGTTTTCTTTCGTCCACTTCCTCGACGTCCTGTACATTATTTATGGCAAAAAAAAAAAAAACTTAGTACTAATTTCCAAATTTCTTTTCGAAACATTGGCCTTGATTTTTTTTTTTATAAAATTGTCAAATTCCAAAAAAAAAATTAAATATTTTTCCAATTTCCTTCAAAGCAAATTATCTGTGGAAAGTCAAAATTTTTCAAATATTAAAAAAAAAAATCTCAAAAATCTAAAAAATTCAGATTTAAGTGGCTTTAATTTAAGCTATCATAACAGAAAACCTCCACTCCAAAAATGGCCTTCAGAAACTTGGTGCAAACGTGTCGCGTTGGTCACTTACTGGCCCAGCCCACAAAATTGGCCCTGAGATCGCGAAAACCCTCATCTGCTCCTCCCATTATGACTCAGTGTCGTCACTGTCAGTTGGTATATCAGGCTCGGGAAGATTGTCAAAAGAAACCGGAGGTGAAATGTGGAAGTCACTTCAAAACGGAACCCTGTGAACAAACGTCCCAGAAGAAGGAGAAGAAGAAAAACACGACTAAGGCCGCAATAAAACAACAAAATCCCCCAGCCAAGGAACCACAAATCACAGCGAAGAGACCCGACATATGCTGTGCAAATCCCTGCAAGGATGCCTTGCCACGTTTCGATTGGCTCTACTATCGGCGTTCGGATAAGCTGAGCAAAGAGTATCAGCAAACCTGGGCCGAATGTCCAGAATTGGTGAAGCAGTCAAAAGTGGTTTGTTGCTACGATAAAATCGTGTATCCCCAAATGAAGAAACGTCCACGCCAGGAGCGTCCCCAAACGGCGTGCACGCCACCAACTTGTAGCAATACCAAGACCACCTGTCCCCGTTTCCATATGCCACGTTGTGGTAAAGTGCGTCGGCCACCCAAGTGCCATGTTAATCGGGAGCCCAAGGACTGTACGAAACGTAAAGCCCCCTTTCCGGCATTTTCGGAGTGCAGGCGGGATATCCCAAAGCCTTTACATCCCATTGAGTGTAAATGCTTGGCCCTGCCGACCATGTGTGAGGTGTGGGCCCACTATAATCGCATGAGGGCCATCAAGGCGGGCAGGAGGTGTTAGGGGGAAAGGGGCAGTTGGTTGTTTGGAAGGCAGATACATTTGGAGGAGGGAAATTAAAAAAAAATTAAATATAAATGTGGAAATGTTCGTGTAGTATTAATTATTTAGTAATAAAAAATATTAATAAAAAAATAAATAAATAAAAAAAAATAATTAAAAATTACCGAATGAATTTCGAATCTTATTTTCTTTAAAAATAGGGAGATATAAACTTATCCTAAGGATATAGACGTGGAGTCAGGAAAAAAAGAGAGTAAGGTAATTGGCTGATTGACTAAAGGGCCCATCAAGGCCCAGACAAAACGACCGCAGCTTAAATAGTGAAATTTAGGCTCAGGGTCACCCTTGGCCCGAAGTTGTCATATAAGGTCGGGGTTTTAGAAATTCGTCGATTTAGCAATGTCCGTCTGTCTGTGGAAATCACTCTAGCTTCCGAACGAAATGAAGTGGGTTGATAAAATTTTACTCAAATATATATTATGTCTGCAGGACTTTTGATATTGAAAATGGGCCATGTAGGTCCACGTTTTGGTATAGCGCCCATATAACGGTACCTTCCTATTTTCGGTATTTTGGTGATTTTAGCGACTTTATTCAGCGGAATTGTTTCAAATTTGATATTTGAAGGTATTAATGGATACCACAGCCTGTGACAGAAAATTGTCTGTGCAGGTCCACGTCTTCGTATAGCCCCCATATAATGGTACCTCCCGATATTCGATATTTTGATGATCTTAGCGACTTTATTCAGCGAAAATATTTCAAATTTAGTATTTGAAGTTCGTAAGTGATACTACAGCCTATGACAGAAAATTGTCCGTGTAGGTCCACGTCTTCGTATAGCCCCCATATAACGGTACCTCCCTATTTTCGGTATTTTGGTGATTTTAGCGGCATTATCCACCGGAATTGTTTCAAATTTGGTATTTGAAGTTCGTACTGGATACTACAGCCTATGACAGAAAATTGTCCGTGCAGGTTCACGTCTTCGCATAGCCCCCATATAAAGGTACCTCCCGATATTCGGTATTTTGATGATTTTCGTCACATTATTTACCGGAATTGTTTTAAATTTCTTATTTAAAAATCTTGAAAAAAAAACTTTCATAGGTCCATCGCTTCGTATAGCTCATCATTTAAACGATATTTTTGTTGAAATTTTTCATGTCCCTTCCAAATGTTGGAGGGTATACTAAATAGTACTAATTTTGTTATTTGTGATAGAAATCGAACGGAAAATCTGAAATTTTATATATGGATCCCTTTTTTGTTGGAAATGTTATATATATGGCGTTCGATTTGAAAATACATACTCAAAATAAGTACTGAATGTTAATAAATTTGGTATTTGGAAAAGGGAATAGAGGTGAGAATTTAAAATGAATATGTATTGAAATTAGTCAACCAATTAATAATTTGATATTAATCAAGTGTGGACTTTTCTTAAATAGACTTTAACTGGTGGGGGTGGGAAGCTGTACAAAAATTCTCTTACCAAAAAATTCTTAACTTGAAATTTTCCGAACCCGAAAAAAATATCACATTTTTCATATATAACTAGCAAATGCCGGCTACTTCGTATGAGGAATAAGGAATTTATCTTTATCCTTATTCGGCATGCGAAGTAGGGGATATTTGCTGGTTATATAGAAAATATGAATATTTTTTAGGGTTCTGAAAATTTCAAGTTTTTGAAGTTGAACTCAGATCCGGATTTTCATATATTTACGATCTCGAATTTTTAATAATTATTTATTTATTTATTTTATTTATTTATTTATTTATTTATTTATTTATTTTTTTTTTTTTTTTGATACTCACAACGAAGCCCACGTTCCCATTTTTTTTCAATGCCACACTTGATATCGAAACTACATTACCTTCAATATATTTTCACACGATATCGTAATAGACTTACCTAGAAAGAGAAGAAAAAATATGATTGTTATAAAGTATAGATTTTTTAGCGGATATCTTAAAATAAAAATTGAGAGAAAAATTTAGAAAAGCCAAAATAAATTCCCAAAGGTATATGGAGCGTATGATTAATATTTAAGTGTTGTGGGGCGTATGATTAACAAAAATCTGAAATAATAAAAATTATTTCAGATCCATGTATAAGATTTAAACCTCTATTTGAATATCCCTGTTGGCGAATAATTTTTCCAATCACCTCCTAACTCTCGCCTTAATTTCCTTATCGCTGTTTAGAAACATGAACATTTTTCTCCCAAAATTATTCCTAAACACACACACACAGAGGCAGACCAACACAGAGAAAACAAAATTAAAATAAAATAAAATTTTATGCAAATTCTAAATAAGTACAAGATTTTCTTTTTCAGCCACACTCTCTTTCCCTCTCCCTCCATGCCTTCCTCTCTCTCTCTCTCTCGTCATCTGTGTCGTCCTTTAAGACCCTGGCTATTCTGTCATTCGTTGTACAAGTGTTGGAAATATAATTATATTATGTGCCCAAAATTCTCTGTGTTTGGAGAAAGTTTCGGAAACATGAGAGAAAAGCTCTTCAAATTCATTTCAATGTTGTTGGTGTTATTGTTGCTAGTTCTGCTGCTGCTGGTGGTTGTGTTGTTTTAAGGATTTTTGGATTTTTATGCAGTTTTGTAGATATTCTAATACTTATGATAAGCATTTTTGTTTGGCTGGTTACACCCAAGGAAAAATGTTACGTGAAGTGGGAAATTTTCACTTTATTCTTGATCGATATTTTAATGCGGGAAAATAGGTGTAAAGGGAAATTATTTCAGATTGAAATGAAGCAAAAACAGAAAAAAAAAGTAAAAAAGCTTGTAAGTTTGGCCAGGCAGAACCTTGAATTTGGCAATTTTCAAAAAATAAAAACCGATAAAAATACGACGACGTGGACCTGCATAGGCAACTTTTATCATAATAACCAAATGCCAAACTTAAAAAAAAAAAAAAAAAAATCGGTGGATAATTTAGCTAAAATCAAAATACCGGATATAGGGAGGTACCTATATATGGGGCCATACCAAAACGTGGATCTGCACAGGCAATTTTCTGTCATAAGCTGTAGTATCTATTACGAACTTCAAATACCAATTTTAAAACAATTCCGATGAAGAAAGTCGCTAAAATCATCAAAATACCGAATATCGGGAAGTACCGTTATATGAGGGCTATACGAAGACGAGAACCTGCATAAACAATTTTCTGTCATAGGCTGTAGTATCTATTACGAGCTTTAAATACCAAATTTGAAAGAATTCCGGTGAATAATGTCGCAAAAATCATCCAAATACCGAATATCGGGAGGTACCGTTATATGGGGGCTATACGAAGACATAAACCTACTTGGCCCATTTTCTGTCTTAGGCTGTAGTATCCACTACGAACTTCAAATGTCAAATTTGAAACAATTCCGCTGAATAATGTCGCAAAAATCATCGAAATACCGAATGTCGGGAGGTACCGTTATATATATACGAAGACGTGGACCTGCACTGACAATTTTCTGTCATAGGCTGTAGTATCTATTACGAGCTTTAAATACCAAATTTGAAAGAATTCCGGTGAATAATGTCGCAAAAATCATCGAAATACCGAATGTCGGGAGGTACCGTTATATGGGGGCTATACGAAGACATGGACCTGCACTGACAATTTTCTGTCTTAGGCTGTAGTATCCATTAAGAACTTCAAATACCAAATTTGAAAGAATTCCCGTGAATAATTTCGCTAAAATTATCAAAATACCGAATATCGGAGGTACAGTTATATGGGGGCTATACGAAGACGTGGACCTGGACTGACGATTTTCTGTCACAGGTTGTAGTATCCGTTACGAACTACAAATACCAAATTTGAAACAATTCCGGTGAATAGTGTCGCTAAAATTATCAAAATACCGAATATCGGGAGGTACCATTATATGAGGGCTATACGAAGACAAGAACCTACATGGCCCATTTTCTGTCTTAGGCTGTAGTATTCATTACGAACTTCAAATGCCAAATTTGCAGCAATTCCGGTAAATAATGTTGCTAAAATAATAAAAATACCGAATATCGGGAGGTACCGTTTATGGCGGCTATACGAAGACATGAACCTACTTGGCCCATTTTCTGTCATAGGCTGTAGTATTCATTACGAACTTCAAATACCAAATTTGAAAGAATTCCGCTGTATAATGTCGCTAAAATCATCAAAATGCCGGATATAGGCACGTACCGTTATATGGGGGCTATACGAAGACGTGGACCTACGTGGCTCATTTTCTGTCTTAGGATGTAGTATCCACTACGAGCTCCAAATACCAAAATTGAAAGAATTCCGGTGAATAATGTCGCAAAAATCATCAAAATACCGATTATCGGGAGGTACAGTTATATGAGGGCTATACGAAGACGTGGACCTGCACTGACAATTTTTTGTCACAGGCTGTAGTATCCGTTACGAACTACAAATACCAAATTTGAAACAATTCCGCTGAATAATGTCGCTAAAATCATCGAAATACCGAATATCGGGGTGAATCGCTATATGGGGGCTATACGAAGTCGGGGACCTGCACAGACAATTTTCTGTCATAGGCTGTAGTATCTATTACGAACTTCAAATACCAAATTTGAAAGAATTCCGGTAAATAATGTTGCTAAAATCATCACAATACCGAATATCGGGAGGTACCGATACATGGGGGCTATACGAAGACGTAGACCTGCACTGACAATTTTCTGTCACAGGCTGTAGTATCTATTACGAACTTAAAATACCAAATTTGAAACAATTCCGGTGAATTATGTCGCTAAAATTATCGAAATAACGAATTTTGGGAGGTACCGTTATATGGGGGCTACACGAAGACGTGAATCTGCATAAACAATTTTCTGTCATAGGCTGTGGTATTCATTACGAACTTAAAATATCAAATTTGAAAGAATTCCGGAGAATAAATTCGCCAAAATCATCAAAATACCGAATATCGGAAGGTACCGTTATATGGGGGCTATACGAAGACATGGACCTGCACTGACAATTTTCTGTCTTAGGCTGTAGTATCCATTAAGAACTTCAAATACCAAATTTGAAAGAATTCCCGTGAATAATTTCGCTAAAATTATCAAAATACCGAATATCGGAGGTACAGTTATATGGGGGCTATACGAAGACGTGGACCTGGACTGACGATTTTCTGTCACAGACTGCAGTATCCGTTACGAACTACAAATACCAAATTTGAAAGAATTGCGGTGAATAATGTCGCTAAAATCATCGAAATAACGAATTTTGGGAGGTACCGTTATATGGGGGCTATACGAAGACGTGAACCTGCACTGACGATTTTCTTTCACAGGCTGTAGTATCCGTTACGAACTACAAATACCAAATTTGAAACAATTCCGCTGAATAATGTCGCTAAAATCATCGAAATACCGAATGTCGGAAGGTACCGTTATATGGGGGCTATACGAAAACATGGACCGATATATCTCATTTTCAATACCAACCATCATAGACATAATAAAAATTGTTGTGCCATATTTTGAAGCTCTATGCCAAATTTTGAAGCTCTTTATGTGATTTCAACAGGCAGGCGGACATGCGGACTTCGTTTAATCGACTTAGAATTTTATGCTGATATCTACTTTATGGGGTCTTCGACGAATATTTATGGGTGTTACAAACGGAATGACAAAGTTAATATAGCCTCCTTGTTAAGGTGGAGAGTATAAAAACTGATTTTGCATTAGCTCTGCAGCTCATAGTTATAGACCAATTGAGGTGGACAAATCAGAAGCCAAGCAATTTGAAAGGTCAACGGATAGAGTTTAGATGGTGAGATTGAGTATAACTTTTGTGGGAATTTGTTTTGAATACCTATCAGGACGACAGAGGGCATAAATATGGTGGCAAATGCCACCGGTCAAAAACCAAAGGCCTGTAGGGCCTTTTATTTCAAAAATAAAATCGAACAATTTTTTATTTTTTTTATTTTTCTAATCCAGTCCCTGCTCTTAGATGTTAAAACTTGAAATTCCCTCAATTTTGTGGCCTCAAAATTATTTCTCAAAATCCATTCAGATTTAGAAAATCAATTAATTAAATTTTTTCTCGGGTGTACTATTATATATATTCTGCCCAGTAACGAGACTACAATTTTCTCTGCTGGCTGGCTGCTGGGCTATCTTCGGGTTGGCTGTCCGGTTGGTTGGCTGTCCGGTGGGTGGGTTTAACTTACAGAAATTACTAATTTAATTGCAAAAATGTAAATGTTGTGGATAATGTAAATGACAACTATGATAGTTGCTCTGGTTGTTTTTCTTTTTTCCTTTTTTGGATTTCAACAAATGCTGTTGTAGTAGTGGTGCTAAAGAGGTAGTGGTAAAAAGGATGCATATAAAATTGCATGTACATGCAAAATTATATAAATGAATATAATACATAAGGAAAGTATATAATTTGTATTGGGAGAGAGAGAGAGGGGGGGAGAGATTTTTATTTTAATTTATTTTGTTAGAGGAGGTAATGTTTAAGAAAGGGTATTGAGAGAGCGGAAGAATAGAAATAAAGAAAACAAAAACTTTTTTAATTTTTTCCGAAAAAGTGTGAGGGAGGGGGGATTATTATAAGCAAACTATAGAGGATTAAAAAGAACAATATTGGAATGACACACAGAAAATAGTAGGATGTGTATTGCGGTCAGGTCAATGATAAGATATGAAAAGTGAGATATGGGATTCTCAATTTAAATAGATTACATAATTAATATGTATTTGAATTAACAATTTAAAAAAGCCCTATATTAAGGATTGACGTTAAAAATGAAAATTTAAAAATTGGCTTTTTATAAAATCCACTTTAAAATAAATATATATTGGCAACGAAACAGGGATGAGAAATGGATTCCAAAGGTCCATTCAAAAAAAATATATA